CCGCGGCGGGGGCGTTTAAACGGCCGCGGCGGGGCGCCCCGCCCCCGGCGGCGGGCGGGAACAGCCCTGACAGGAGGCGGAGGCTGCTGAAGCGCGCGCAGCCCGCGCCTCGCCCCCGTTTTTCCGTAGCCTCCGGCTGCGCAGGGCCCTGCGAGGCAAAGAGCGAGACAACAGCGCGAGTCCCGAGCGCTCCGAGCCCGTTCCGGTGCAGCCGGAGAGCCAAAGCTCAGCTTCCTCGGGAGCAGGAAGGAGCTTGGGCTAGCCGGCCTAATTCAAAGGAAGCTTAAAGACCACTCCGAAACAGGCAGTTTGGTTACAAAACGTGTATCAAAAACTGTTTTTATTTCACAGCATCTGGAATTTCACAAGTTAATTCATGTGGAAAAATATGGAACGGGCTACGCTTAAATTAATGTACTAGGACACAGACGTAACAGTATTGTTTACAGAAAAACGTACAGCCTCTTTCTTATCAAGAGAGTTGCCCGTGCTGAGTCAAAGCAGCATCATATTTACACGGAACACGAGTTAAAGCACCCCTCAGTGTAAACCAGCGTCTCCCGTCGGAGCAAGAGGAGTTCGACTGTGAAAGGGTAAAGCTGGCAGATGCATTGTTTTTAGGTCCCATTTTTAGGTTATTAATCGATAATGTAGTAATACTTCTTTGCCACACGGTGGCAGCTTTTAGGTAAAAGGATAAATATTACCACACAGGCTTAAATGAACAAGACTGCAAGCTACACTCAGGAAATAGAAAAGTTAAACACACACACACCTAAGTTAGTGCATCCCTGCAGAACCACTGCTTCTGCACAGGTGACGAAAGAGGTACCCATTTAAAAGTTGCAGACTAAGTGTCTGGCTGGCATCAGTCTGAAACTAATGTTTTACAGTGTCACTCGAGAATTGCCTTCTGTTTACTCCAGAAACGCAAGCACAGTGATCACTACATGTTGTCATTTTTGGCTTGTACTCCGTACAGCTTTCGAGCTCAAGGACTCTGCATGTGCCTGACGAAATGTTTAGTTGTTTTTAAAACAGCATTCGGCATTTTGTAACGTAATATTCTGTACTCCAATTTGTTCTTCTGAAAGAGGAGGAAAAAAAAAAAAAATCTTGTGATGCCATAGCTTCCATTCTGCGACTTCACTCCAGCCCAAATGCCGACTGTAACTAGGCAAACTTCCACCGAATAGAGATCACTAAGAGTTCCAAAAAAAATCAAAGCATATATATTTTTTTCCTACTCTGTGAGAAAGGAAAGTTAACAGTTGGAGAATATAATTCTCCAGGAACTTCTGAAGAGTTTTTTCTGACTATACAGTAGAATACTTCAGTTAGTATGAGCATCTGGAGATATTGTGTGAGAAATTTCTACACAATTTTTTCCTCTCTCCACAATTGTTTAGTAAGTAGTGGACCACTATAGTCGAGTCCACCACTGTTTGCTAATTTCAAGACTTATGTATATGCTAAATGTTTAATACTTAGGTATTTCTTGCATGCAATGACAGTTACATTCAGTAGAAAGTTTAACTAGTAGACATTTTGTAAACCTTTGGAAGATAACCGACAAGCTTATTTTCTAACTGGTTAGCTATCATCTCATTTTAGAAGACTGGAAAGTCCCTTTGTGTTAAAGGGAAGTTACAAGCATATTAAACTTCACACAAATACCTTAAGTTACATACACAGAGTTGAACACGGTTACAAAAGGTTTGATAGTCACTGTAGTTATATGAAAAATACATTTTGAGCCCTTCTTAGAGAGGAATGGGCTCCAATAAAGTTTGCTGCAATCTAATGAAGCCAAATTAGCTTCAAGCAAAACACAGCTGAATAACAGAGTTCCAGCTTTGTTTTTACCTACAACAAACACTGAATACAAGGAACAGGCATTTACATTACTTTACATATTTCAAAGCAGGTATCCTTACCTCAGTACGAGGTCTAGCATTTCATTTAGGAGTCAAACTTAAATTACAGATTTCTTATCATAATAGCCAACCATCAGGTTTGTTCCTTGCAAATGGACAGTTACTTGTATCATAATATTGCTCAGGAAAATAAAACCAAGAGCCAATAACTCTAAAGGTTCCACTTATATCTGAATTCATTCCCAGTCTGGGTATTTTAAAAATACACAAAGGAATTGTCATTGGTCAAAGTTATTTAACCTCTGCATAAGCATTAGAGCGCTGCTGGACATCAGCCATTAAGTGGCTGTTCAGTCAGATGTGCAACAAATGCCAGTTTCATGAGGACCATTACAATGACAACGCTTGGAAGAACAGAGTAAAAAAAAAAAAAGCAGTATTTTTAGTATTGAGCATGCTTTGTTTCATTGGCTTTGTTTGATAGCAATAACTCTACTGACTTAAATATTGTCTTTAGAGCACACAAGATCATATATGACAATCATACTAAAAAGGTGCTTATTTCAGACTACAGAACATTGAAACAAATCAAAATCACAAATGATACATTTGACAGCAAGTTGCTCTTCTTAGTCAAGTGCTCACCTTCCACTGAAGAATGGATTAGAATGGCAATCACTTCGCTGCACCTACCTTGTTCAACACGTGATATTTCATGACAGATTTTGGAACAATCATTTTGAAATAAAATGTATATTCTTAAGGTATTAATAGTTAACTAAATTGAAACAGAGTAATTTCAGTCTTGCTACTCACACATCTATAGCACAGTATAGATGCCCTTTTGTCATTAGTGCAGATATACTGGAATCGTTTTTCCTATATGCAAGGCCAATGCAGGTAAAGAATAAATGGCTATATAAATTCAGGAATCCCCACTAAACAACATAACTAACTTAAAAAGTACTGGTTCCAGACCAGCTAGGTTTTAGGCACATCTTTAAAAAAATAAAGTATGCATTTCATTGACGTTGAAGTGTGAGAAGATTCTTAGAAACATCTGAACTTTGTGATGCACTGGAATGGAAGTGATGCTTCCTTTAGTTTCAAGGAAGCAAATAAAGGCCTTAAAGAAACAAACAAGAAACAATCAAAACAAACAGAACCAAAAAACCCACAATACCATACAATTCTTCATAGGGAAGAACAGTTTTAGTGAAACTGAAAAGATAAATAAGGAATAATCAGCAGCCATGACAGCCAGCTGGTGAATATTTGTGCTTCAAACGTCCAAAAGAAAATGAAGTTCAACAACTCTTTCCGTACCATCTCCCAGACTCAGCATACATATCCATAACGCACACCTGGACGGTTTAAAAAAATGCTGCAGACTTCAAAAGTAACTGTAGCCATGACAGGATGAGCACTGTGGCATAGCAAGGCCGGGGGCAAGTTCAGCAGCAGTGTTCAGTGATGCTATTCCCAGAGCCACTGGCTATCAGCTGGAACGTAGCTTTGGTTAAGAGTGTTGTGTGAGCCGCCTGTAATGAGGTAAAACTTGGTTTTCAGGAAGATAGAGAGCCAGTTCCAAAGCTACGAGCACGGTGAATTCAAAGCCAATTAGATCTCTCCTGTTGAATCTGAATCTCTCCTCTAGTTTCTATGATAGAACAAAAAAAAGAAGAGAAGGGGGTTATCCACAAGACACCAATACATTGTCAGATTAAGTCAGCATAAAATAGGAGTAAGTGCTGCATGGCTAGGGCTGTACCTACAGAATCAAAATTGTTGCTTGGGACCAAACAAGTAAACCAGCCTATCAGCTCAGCTGTGACACCCATACAGCGGTTACTGTTTCTCCCACAAACACACATAAATACAAAAATAAGCTCACTGCAGGATCATTACAACATGGGACAGTATCAGCCAGGTACCTTTCAAGAATTAAAGAAAAGTATCAGTAAGACTCCTAATGAGACTTTGACCGAGAGAGTTGGTCCTAAATACAAGCAGGCTATACTGAAAACCTTAGCTTTAATCTTTGTCTTGTTCTAGGAAATAAATACAAGGCTTTGACAACACCTGAAACAAATCTGATGGTACCTACATCTATAAGGTGTTTGACTTCATGTTTCCTGAGATCACTGCTGATCTTGGCCGCAAGCAGAACACAAGCACCAGCGCACAGTTTGCGGTTCTGTTTGTTGAGTTTGCCTTGGAGAACAAGCTTCTCAAAGTAAACATAAGCCATGGACACAGTAACTGGCTCCAGATTGCACTCTTCACTCAGATTCCGCATCTCTCTTTTTAAGCTAGAGATAGAAGAAAAATTGTCAAACAATGTTTTTATGAAATGCATTAGAAACACTGCAGCATGGAAACGCGAAGAGCATACGGGTGAGACTTCTGCTTTGGAAGACTGATGAGTATCATCTTAGACTGGAGTAGCTCAATTGGCAGCAAGCTGGATCTGAGGCACAAACCGATTTAACCTGGCTGACAACATCTACTGGGGAAGAAGGCTCCCACCTGCCGACGGACGTCAAGGGCTTAAGCTGCCTCACTGACACATGGGCCATGGCTATACAATTCCCTTTGAGCTCGCAAACTGGTTTGCGATTCATATCGGACTGAATCGCCTTGGCCTATGCAAAACCGCTTGAAAGCTGTATGGATCACAGTACTTGCTGCATGGAGACCAGTCTACTACAAACATCCCAAAAAAAACCAGTCTGCTTGCCCACTCAGTCTTGGTTCACACACTTCCCACAGTGGGTAGCCCTTCATTTCAGCAGAAAGGCAAACTGGCAACAGATAGATGCTACCTCTATCACTGTCATTCATGCTACACCTGCAGAGATCTCCCTGTGAACCTACAGTTCTCAAAACAGCTACAAAGAGATGCGCAGGATAGTCTGGCAGAACACGTGAACTCCAATTGAGGAAACCTTCCCGTCAAAGCTGAGTTACACATAGCTCTAATGATTCAGCAGAATCTTGTTTTTAGCTGACTGTTTCAGAGGACCCTGACTACGTTAAGGCTAGCATACTACCAACAAGATTACAGCTCTCTCTAGATGCAACAGTGCATCTCACTGATGAATAGCCAGAAGCATTTCTAGAAGTCAAGGAATTCCGCATGGCATAGTCCTGCCTACGTGAAACGCTTTTCTTTACTGAGACTCCCCAGACCTAAGATTATTCTTTATACTAGAATCCAGTTGGAGGATTGTAACCAAAAGGGAAAAATAGCCATATAGCTCAGAGAGACAATCCAGTTAAGAGTGGAACTGCACTGTAGCCTAACAATCAGGTTGCAAGTATTTGTCTCAAGGCTAACGCTGATTCACTGTTAATTAGCCGTTAGTGTCAGTACACCGCAGCCGATGAAACAAAACCCTTTTAGGCTGAACTCTGAAGATGCTGTTAGTGTTTAATCATATATACTATTAATAGATTTAGTAGTTGCTTCATACAAGTGGAAGATAAAAGCAGCTTTGTACAGTGCTAGATTTCCTCATTACTCACTTCTTGTTTCTTACCTCCTAATTTTGCTCAATGTCAACTTGATGTGAGGAAACTTCTCTCTGAAGGTTTCATTCATATCCTTTTTAAGGTCCGAGGGTTTCACGTATTCTATGACTGTTGTCTGAAACACAGGAGGCAAAAGTTGTCATTGCTCCTGTTAGCAGTGCTGACAGCCAAACAAGCCTTTCAAGGACACTTCAATGCAAAGGCAAAACCAATTTTTATTATTATTAATTATTTTACGTTCCTTCAATGCCTTGCTAACTAATAGCCAAGGTTGAGTCTCCGCCACAGACCAATCTTACAAGTCTGAATAAGCTAGTAAGCAGATGGTTACAAGTAACAAATGGAAACATGGAGATAAGGGTCAAGTTGGTTCTTGACAAGCTCAATGTGCAAAACCAACCATTGGTATTTTTCCTAATCAGTTCTCAAAAAAGCCACAACTTATTTGTCTCGTCTACCTAGGGGTAGTTCTTTATAGCAAGGTCTTCTAGGCATTCTTCAGGTATGCCAGTCACTTACCATGTAAGAGGCAAAGATAAGAACACGCTTGTGTTTTCCACAAGGCCACTGAGGATCATCCAGAAGATTTGGATCATACTCTGCTGCTTCCCCAGCTTCACTTCCTGAGGGAATGAAGAAAGCATAACAGTGCACCACAAGACACACAGCTCTAGAAATTCTGCACCTCCTCTTAAAAAGAGTTTTCAAACAGCACATGTTAAGAGTTTGCCTGCGCTCTGGAGTCTGCAGACACTGCAGCTACAGCCACCTGTCTGCATTCCATAAATGCACCAGTCAGATATTAGGGTTATTAATAAAAAACAATCTGATAGACTCTTGATGTACCATTTTAGACTTGCGTGCAAGCTAACACGTCATACTCCGCAAACGCGCAAAAGACAGCAGCACAAGACTGAATTCCTTTGTGTACGCTCAAATCTTTCAGACAGCCACATGTTTGTCAGATGTGCACTTTTACAAAAGAGAACAGCTTCTGATCGTAAACTCGTTGGTTAATGCATTGTTATGGTGCTGGAAAGCAGGAAAAACCACCTATACATCTGATGTTTCTTGTTTAAAAAAAACATAAAACCTCATGTTTACAAGGAAAAGCTTGCACTTCTAGTTATATTTACGCAATTCAAGACTAGATATACAGAGGAATGTAATGAATGCGTGCAAGTCTCATCCCTAAGACTCATCCTTTGCACTTCAATAACAAACCTTCATTGCTAAAATGTGCTAAAAACGGTCTTCTTCCAACTGCAGCAAATCCTTCCTAACAATGCCTTTCACCAATAGCATCGTGCCTGACAAACATATTCGTTGTTCATTGCTGTGCGTGCAAGTGGTAACAAAGCTGGCAGCTGACCTTACCTATCTCAGTTCCTGCTGGTATTGTTTTTGCTGTCACAGGTTTATACCTCGATCCAGGAAGACTCCGTGAAGCACTAGCTCGACATGGAGGAACAACACTATGGCTGTCAGTTTTGCGGACAACTAGGGCATTGGTTGGATACAAGAATTTTGCATAGGACACAACCTTAAATAAAAGAAAACTGTAGCAGTTATAGAAGGAACGTTATTGAAAAATTTGCAAACACCTAGAACTTTCCAACACAGAGACCCCCGGAGCTTCTGTTTGGGGTTGGGGACCCCCTTGTTCATAGCACATCCTGAAACGTGGAGGGGGGGAAGGAGGAAAAACTTGGACACAGGAAAACCTTTTTTCCAATCACTTCAGTATGGAAGAGTTGTAGAGGATTTGGGGATGGGGGAAGAAAAAGGGGAGAATCACATCAACAACATTCTGGTAGTACATAAATTTAATTGAACAGGTTTAAATTTTGCTCACATTTCTATCAAATCATCATTCACAAGTTGCCTGAGACCCAAGAGTCGAATCAATTCTCCAGAAACAGAGGAAGAAGTGATTAGGGACTTTGACAGCCTCCTGAAGAGGAGCATTATCACAACTCAATCCTAACGCCTCAGACTTCAAGGAGCTCAATAAACTTTCACAGCTCTGAAAGTTAAAGCTCTCATTTTACGGATGGTGAAGCATAGCATAAACTAAATTATTTACTTCAGTTTCACATCGTGACAAGGCTAGAAGAGGCTGACTTATCTGCCCATCTTCCTCTGCTCCAGTCAGTAGTTTAGTCATCACCACTACAGATTAAGAGATACAAAGCCTTTCCTTACCTTGCCATCAGCTCCTAGCTCTACTCCTTCCAGTCCAAGCACCATCTCAGTGGAGACTGAAACTCCCCCAGAAGGATGTCGTTGTTTCTGTCCTTCCATTTTTAGATCACTAAACGCAGATAAGACAGCGCACTAGCGGAAAATGCAGCGCAAGCCCACCTTCCTCTATGGCAAACCATCGTCTACAGCCAATACCACAAGGTCAGAGTTCTACTATGTGGGAACAGGGCAACCCCTCAATCCCACTTCTAAGCAAGCATTAATTTTTGAATAATCTATTCACAAGGTAGAGATTCTTCATTAACTGAATAATCAGATTTCATTTCTTTTTAACTCAAATCTCTACCAATATACCTACTAAGAGTAAACTCAAGTTTTATACAGAGTCTTTCTGCATAAAATTATTCCATTTGTTACACACACTAATGCTCAAACACTTAAGATTAAGCATTATTTATATTACTATTTTTCCAGGATTAGAAACTCGCCTTTCAATTGCAGTTTTCCAACCACTGTGCCCACAAGCTCACACTAAGAATTAAGATTGCTAGCAGAACTCTGCTTCAGGGATGGCAGCACACAGCATTGTCACCTATACTCCAACGCAATAAAGCCGCTTTCTGTTGAAGAACTGCATGGCCAGCTTATACACAAGCAGAATTACACAGTGCTCAGAACTGCTCTAAAATAACTCCAGCGACCTTGCTGCTTTTCTATGAAATGAAAGACTATTTCCCCATTTACTATTTTTATAGCAAGCGTATTTGAATACAATGCAAATCCTACCACTAAACATCCGTTTCCTTCTTCCATAAGTTACGTACAGCACAGAGGCAACACCACAATTGTCTTGACAGAAGTGGATTAAAGTAAAATGAATATTTTTAAAGTATATTTATAGATCATACACCTTCACAGAATCAACTTAAGGGTTCACAAGGGGCTGAGCAAAGCTGCAGGGAAATCCAGCTAGCAGGTTGTTTCTCACAGCAATCGTTTTTACAGTTCTATACAAAAGTGGAGCTCCAAAGAAGCTAAGCACGACATCAGTCAGGCCAAATTGTTTCAGTTTCTCTTAGACTGCAAATACAATGACACTCACGGCTTAGAGGAGCTGGAAGCTAGAAGAGCATCTTAAACGTATTCAGATATAGCTTCGCTATATACCCTGGAAGAGTTTTCAGTAAAGGGACCATCCTTCCCTGATGCTTCAGTTTAGCAGTACAGGATTTGGGTCCAGGTAATCCCTCAGACTCTGTCAGCATCAGTATAGTTAATGATCAAGGTGGCAAAGGTACACTTCTGCAGTGGCAGTGTCTGGATACACAGGCCATCATGCCAACAGAAACGTGTGTTTAAGGTACAGCTTTTCTGCATTCTGCTGGCTATTTTGCCGACGCAACTGCTTGCTGCACTAGGGACATTTACTTTCTGACCGCTGTTATACCGCAACAAATCATGTCACAGGTTCCCAGCTGGTAACAGGGATTTCACAGGGCAGGAGTCTTGACCGTGTGAACAAACATCTGAAGAGAAGCCTACCCCTTTCCAGTATTTTCTCTTGAAGTTAGAATGAACACTTTGACATTGGGGCAATGTCTGATTTTACCGCTCTGACAGCAAGCTCTTGTCCATATATTTAAGTGGTAAGTCAGATAAACGATTACCTGCTTCAAAATAGGACAGCTGCAACTGCACTCATTTAAGAAGCTCTTTTGCAAACAATACCGCAGAAATTTCACAAAGCAGTTAAAGATGACTCACCTGATCCGTAAACTTTCCCCGTACGGTAGGATAGAAAAAGCCACACACAGTGTTCGTTTAGCACAGATTAATACTATCCTGTAAGTAGACGGGAGAACATCAGGATAAGAATCAAGATTCAGAAGTTACAGGCAGCAACAAAGCAGCTTTTTAATGGAACATGAACACCAGACTTCTCTTAATTTGCTCTATAAATTACATAGATAATGCTGTGAATTTCATCTTTTGAGAGAGCAGCACAAAACCAGAAGATTCATGGTGACCCTGCAGGTCCTTAGAGCCAGGCTCCATATCAAATCCCAATGTTCAGTAACTGGCATCACTGTGAGGACTTCTCATAGTAGGTCTCAGTCTTCAGATATTTAAACATAAATGAAAAAGAGGACTTGGGAGTGAGAGTCAACTACTATAGACTCTCACCATACAGGAATTTCTGAATTATTTTCTGACTTGCTGGCCTGTCAGCCAGTGGCCAGGTCTGCTACCCTCAGGGATCAGGAAACAATATACCCGCAAGCAGCGTTGACTGCACTTTCTGCCTGCTCATATTTGGCACAAGCTGTTAAAGACAGTTTACCTGCCCTTATAAAATAAGTCACTTTTCCCACTTATGCAGGGGTTTTGCAGCAGTAGCCTCATCTTATCAGCACCAAATGTGTGACCAGTTCACCTAAGGCACCACAGTGAGCCCTAAAGAAAGGCTATCTGTCATGTATCTGATTGCCTTGGAACACATGCTCTCTTCAATAGTCCAGGCTATTTGCAAATAACTTCAGTTTTCTATATTCCAGACAAGACACTCTCATTCTCTGAATGCCCTTGTCCAACCAAACAGTTCTCAAAAGTTCACTCAGTTCACCTTTTTTTCTTTACTATGACACAGTGTTGAGGGAGATCTTCTCACAAAGTTTGTATTTTATACTCACTTAGATGATGGTACCACTCAATTAATACTCACAGGGCTGCGAGTATTAAATATGGACATAAGCCCCTTCTTTCTCTGCTGCTCAGTAATTACAAGTCAATAGGGATAAACCAAGCCATTTTCCATACATCTTCCTCAGCTCTGATCTCTCTGTGCCAGAGATGAGGAAGCAGTTGGGAGAGGGTGGTGTCTGCCTTTAACCTCCTCCCTTCCTCCTCAAAGTAGGATGACCGAACCATCAGAATATTGCTGAAGCTATACCAAATATGAACACTTAACACCTTTGACACATCTATATTTTTAAACTAACAAGACCGCGTGGACATCACATATTAGTACCACTGATACGAAATGGCTGACAACACTGCACCCCTGAAATCTAATTATGAGCACATCCTATTTCACATGAGTAAAAGGGGCACACAGCTGGTCTCCAGAAGTTACCTGCTGTTCTTTGTGTCATACTGCCTCATGTTCTTGATGAAGTGCATCTTCTTCAAACTTTTGTGTCTTGGAGACCCAGATATGTGCTTGGTTCTGCAATTACAAAAAAAAGGGAACACCTCTGTTAAGTGCTCTGCAAAAAAGTCATGCCAGTTTTATGATCAGATGGCAGCACTAGCATGCAGGACCTCAGATATTGGCGTGGAAGAGGGTGGAGGGAGGAGAGGACTGCATGCAACGAGTTAAGATTAATGCTGCTTTTGAAAAAAGTACCTTCGTACACTGGCATATTCCACTATGTCTTCTAAAAACTCTAGAGAGCAGCGCTGGGAGATAAAACGCCTTCTGTAAAATGTACAACACCACGAAGAGTGAACAATATTAGTTCATAGCCTCCGAGTTTAGGAACTGCAACAGATCTGAGTTCATACTGATGAAAGGGAGTGTGTGGTTTTTTTTTTTTTTTTTTGGAAGAGCACTTAACTAGGAGTTTCAGATTTCTAAAAGGCCAAGAACTCCCCCTCCCTCCCCCATGCTAAGGCCCTTACAGCCTTTTACTTAGAATTATGTATTTGTACCAAATTAATTAACAGGAATATTCACCACCTGCAACACACGGGAACACTCACCTACAAGTTAAACACCTAAAGAGCTTCCAAATACTTGTTTAAAATCTTACAAGAAACATTACAAACAGTCTCCCACATTAAGTCAAGAGAATAAGATATTTTTAATCAATCAATCTACTGATACATGCAGTTATAGCTATCTGATGATGGAACATCTATATCTGTGTTCTTCCTTCATGCAGGACATGGTGTTTTGTCGGCATTGGGAGTCAGACTAAAAGTCTATGACGTTAACTCAATAAAATTGACAGATCTCTCAGAAAAACAATAGAGAAGGCTATTAGAGGAAGCAAAGAATATTCGGTGCCCATCTGAAATCCCAGAATTGGAAGATGATAAAAGAGAATAGCAGGAATTACGTGAGTTAGTTTAAGCAGAAAAATTGACCTTGCCAAAGTAATAATATGTCTTAACACTGTCAAAGTCAGCTCCTTCTTTGTCGGTAGACATTTACAAATGAATTGTGAAATCCTATGGCTGCAATTTCCATAAGAACGTTGCATTCAGGTTCAATTGCCACCAAGAAAATACCGAGTTTGGATTGTATGCTTTCTGCATTGTTTAAGCATATATTATGCTATATTTTTAGCACAAGCCACATACGTTGAAGCCCAAATTTTTCTTACAACGTTACATAGTAACTCCATAGATGGACAATGCTCCTGTGGAAGTCAACTTAACAGAAGCATACTAGACAAAGTTGCAGGACTCTGGTTTAAAGGTTTTACAAGATCTACTTTTGGGTGGGAGGGATCTCATTCCTGGAAAAACAATAAATACTTTGAGAAATAAATTGTTGCTGTTTCTAATAAGCTGCAAATCTGCAATGCAGGGGGCAGCAGTCATACTCCCTTGCAGCACTCGCTCTCCCTGGCTACGTGGCTGCACACTGCCCTCTGGGATGCTCCCAGGTCTCGAAGAGCAGCTTTTGGAGCACTTGCACACATGAGCAGCCAAACCATTGAAACAGGCTGAGGCCAGGTTCGCAGGCTTGGAAGTTAGCACCCAACGCTAGACTATAAGCACGGTACCTTGGGTAGGTGCAAGGAAACAAAAAGTTTCAGGCCAAATGGGATTTATTACTTTACTAACAGCTATGGAAGAATCTTTTTGAAGAGAGACATTTATAGCTTCAGTTGATTCAAGTTAAAGATCAAAAAAAGCTACTTGGGATTGAGTCTGGTCCTGAAGTCCAGCCTGTCAAGATTTCAAAATAGTTTACCAATCTGCTAATCCTAGTTACTTTGCCTTTCATCCTCTTCAGCCTGAGCTGGGTAAGAAATACAAACACACTGCTCTGTTGCTGCAGCAGGACATATACCAGAGTATTGGCCACGAACAAAATAAGCCTGGTGCTTAGAAGCGTAAGTACACCCTTGCTTGAGCGACAAAGCAGGTGCTCGCACCTCGTTTCCTCCTTCTTGCCAGTTATTTCCTCTCTTCTGAGTTACTCAGGAGCTACTGCCAGAGCTGCCTGCCAAAAGCTGTGCCAGCGAGACGTGGCAGTTACACTTTGCATAGTGCATCAATATTACCATGCAGAGTCACCGATACACAGCACTTCCTATGCAATTACAAATTTCCATGACAAGCAGATTGTTTGCGACAGGGGTATTTGCTCCTTTTGTTTAAAGCTATACCAGTTCTTCTGTCTGAGTTTAAGCAGCAGGAAAAACTAGCACTTCAGAAAAGGTGATGCTCTGGTATCTTTCCTTGTATATTGACATAAACGTTATTCAAAAATGCTGATCCATAGGCAAGCCTCTACATTGAGATCTCTAATGTTTTCCTGGAGTTGTACATACCAACATTTATCCAGAGGTTTTCCAAAAAGACACCTCAGTCTCAAAGTACTCCTAAAACGAAATTAATTCCTCATTCCTCACCATACATTCAAAAGAATGTAAACTACCATTTTCCCTGTATCTTCAAGTATGTGCAGAGAACAAAGGCCAAACTAAACAAATGAACGTTTTTGCCCCTTCTTCCCAAAGTTTGCTTATAATCTCCTTAGCATCCTTTTAAAAGAGAATTTGTACCAACTTACACCCCTATAAGGCTTTATTTTTCACTTAAGTAAATCTGATATTGTTTACAGTTTCTCAGCAGTGCTGTTCAGACATTAAGGAAAAAAACCACCCTCAAAAAAAGAAAAAAAATATCCACAAATCAAACAAGCAGGAGGCTGAAAAATTAGTGTCCCTTTCTGTGAACACGGGAGAGGTAAGTCCTCCCTATGAACTAACACCTTTATTACAGCTAAGGATTGCCTCCTACAAACCAGCAGCTATTGAGAGCGCCACTGAAGAACGTTCCCGGCACGCCTAATAGACTGCCTTCAACGCCCTTCACCAATATTTCAGTCTTAAAATATTTTTTTGTTCTTATTCAGCAAGAATGGTATGGGAAAGTTTAACAATTTCACATCCACATTGCTTTCCACTCTGATTTGGCATCTGATCTGCAATGAAAAAAAGCACCTTCACGAAACGCGGAGCCCAGTCTTGCAGCTACTGGCACGAACGCAGTTACCAAACCCTCCCTAGTCTTCCTCCACCAGTGGGGGAGACCTGGCTGGATGCAGACTGAGAGAAGCCACGTGTGGCTGAGCTGAGGAAAAATGAAGCTAAAGCCAAGGACAGGGATGGGTATAAGAGCAGCACGCAATTCTGTAAAAGGGAGCCAGTGTAACTGGCTGGCCTGATTCAGAGAGCTACAGCTGCCACCCTGGTGGAGGTGGTCAGGAGTGTCACTTGTTCTGAACACTCTCCGCGTTTCCTCAGTATTGAGGGCAAGAAGGAACAACCCCTGAACCTGTTGTTCAGTAAGTGCGTATCCAAGTAAAAAAAAAAAAAAAACCACCCTGCTGCAATGAAAGGAAGGTCCTGCCCATTTGCTCAAAACCACAATGACTCATCCCCACTGTGCCAACAGGAAGCATCATTTTTAGCTATTTTTATAGCTAATATTTTTCTGTCCTCAAGCGAAGTTGTCACCTTGGAGAAATTCAAGGTATTGGGCAAGACAAGCTTCTCAGATCTCTAGAGAGGGTACACACAGAGGTCTCACTAATCCAGTTAGAGTCAGTACCTACACTGTGTTTGCACAAGTAAACATCTTACAGTGACACCGTTCTGTCGGTGCAGCCTGCGAGCAGCCTGTCGGTCTCCTCCATCGCATTAGTCAGCACAACTTCTTTATCGGACGGTGCCTTTTTGGAGCATATTGCGAACGAATGCTTTCTGAGGTGCCTGAGCTTATTTTGCAAACGGTCTGCTTTAGTTTTAGTGCTTTTTTTTTTTTTCCCTGTAGTCAATTCATACTTCAATAACAGGGAACACAGGATCACTTTAGCAGCTGCTAGCTCCTGCCCGATGGGGGCGGGGGGGGGATGTTGAGTCACGTACCCTGGGCTAAGCAGATTCAGCTAGAATAACAGTCCTCGCCTGCGGTCTGATCCGCTGGAATTCAAAGGATAATTAGTTTCTAGAGTGCATTTGTTACCAAATGTCACCTAAATACTGAAACAGAATACCAAAATCTATTCACGTACTATAAGTTACCTTACAAACACTCTTACTGACACACTACTTGGCAGTTACACTTTCCAATTTTAAAATGGTAACGAGCTCTGAGGAGCAGGTTATAATTTCAACTGCATCCTGAAGACAGCTCAGACACATCCGTTAGCTGATACCAATTGAAGTCCACGGCTGTGAGCAAACAGCTACTTGAGCACAGCTATTTCTTAACAAGCTACAGAGGATCTTTGCTTGTTTGTACTTTTTCAGTCAAGAGATCACTTCTGGGGCTTACAGCCCTTATTTTAGGGACCAGGAAAAAAAGGACACTCTCAGAACCCCAGTATTAAAAACAGTAACTGTGTTTATATAACCAGCACCCCTGGGAGGCCCACGAGAAGACACAACGCCAGGCAGCACATGTGTAGAGATAAAGGGCTATCAAGGAGAGGAATTCTGGATTAAGCCTTTGCTTCTTATCTCCACGCACACACACACGCACACACACTCCAGCACAGCTGCTGAATCCAGGATGAGCTAAACACGAGCATTAAGGAAAGAAAACCTCTTAAATTCAAAATTCTATTGTCACCTCCCCCCAGTGAAGCAGTAGCCAACCCACATATTTATTCTTTCTGATGGATTTCCCACCAAAGAGACCCAACTGCCTGTACTCTGTGCTTCAGAGCTGTCTTCTTCCAGTCCTAATAGCACCCTACTGAGCGCAGACACAGAAATTCCCGGCAGAGGGCAAACAACGATGGCCAAGCAGCATGCAGGCTTCCTGACCCAGAGAGTTATATAGCTCTTAAGTGTCCCAGCTGAACAGGATACAGCTAAGAGAAACCTATGTATAGCATCAGTAATCCCCAAGCGTCCCGTCTTGCAAATTGAAAGGAAAAAGCTGTTTAAGTCACAGCAGATTAAAGAACAAACAGTGACCTTTCAGATGGCCTGCCAGGAATATTTTGCCCCTGTCCCAGCAGGCTGGGCTACATACAGATACCCCAAAGGATAAGGGTAAATTTAGTGGAATTTGCTGTAATTAGACATGTCATAGTATCTGCTAAAGACCAATCATCTCTAAGCAAACGCAAGAGACACACTACCCCTTCTGTGCTATCAGACATCGCTTAAGGCACAAGCCAGACTCTCCTGCCCCGGCTCCTCCTGGGCGAGGCCATCTCTGAGCGAT